CAGTTTGTTAAAGCTGAAAGTTTACGGTTTGAACAGGGTCAGAAAATAGTCTTAGCATTAATAGAAAAATTACTACTGCCCAAATTCATTAGTGAATTGTTTACACTAAGCGAGAACAAATACAAGTGACTGTGAACGAAACTGCGGTCATGGTTGATTCAAGGCGATCAGGCATTTTCCTGTGGTTAATGATCAGTTGCTAAGGTTCATCCACTAAGGCTTGAAGAGGTGCCTATCTGCGTCTGGAACAGCTCTACCGTACTACGGAGAAGCGACTCTACTGAGGCAGTGGAAGAGTTGCAATGTCGTGTGATACTGTCCTAGTGTTTGAAACGGAAATTGTTCTATCATTGCATGCTCTCAGTGCATATCTTTGGGTTTGATACTTGGACCCTGAACCTGACAGCTGTTCATAAACAGCAGATTGCCCAACGCCACATGGAAAGATATATGTTGGGAATAGTAAAAAATCATAGGAATGGATAAAACCACAAACAGAGGTCTACAATGTCATTATCAGAATGAATGGTAACTTCGTTAATAGCTTCTAATGGCAATAGGCAGGACACTCAAGACTAACTGACTTTCACTGTACCGCTATGGAAGGACTTCCAGATCGACTTCAGGATCAGTTGAAGAAGTTAACTGGATCAAGATGGATCAAAACTAAATTATGGCAGCGTCTTTCGGAGTATTTCGTCGAACACTGGATTAAAAAAATCTGACATTGATGAACGCTCAGTTTCTGTTCCAGGTCATTTGGCTGGACGCTGACTTTAGATCTTTTACCTTAAAGTTTTCGGTTCCAGCTTTTGGTTACGGAAAGTTAACAGATATTTAAATATTTTAGGCAAGGCGTTTGAAAATTAAATAAATTCTGATTTTCATATCGCTCATATGACCGTCATCTAGTAAAAAGGTTATTACAAATTTATTACTGGTTTTATAAGCAGTTCTGTTTTTGTGTATTGTTCCTGTTGCCCTGAAATTTGGCTTGAGAAGAGTTATAGCACATTACAATGTATGAACTTGTATTTTAGGATTTATTAAATTTTAAGATTCTGCTGTTTAAATGAAATCACGAAATAATACCATTGATAGCAGAAAACATACACTGTCATAAACCGCGTGTTTTGTTCTTTCGTCTTTATAGTCAGACTGTCTAGAAACTGCTCATTTTTAACCTATTTCTTTTAGACCTCGGACCTCAACGGCGCTGTTCTTACAGTATAATACGCAGCTGGGACCACCGTACCATGTTCTTCTCGACACGAATTTCATCAACTTTTCTATACAAAACAAACTGGACATCGTCAAGTCCATGATGGACTGCCTGTACGCCAAATGTATTCGTTTCGCGTAATCTACGTCGTTCCTCAGCATCCTATTTTCTAGGTATTCCATACATTACCGATTGTGTTCTTGGAGAATTAGAGAAATTGGGACCTAAATATCGACTGGCTTTGAAGTATGATTACTTTCGGTTCAACATGTCACTGACCGCAGAATTTTGGTTACAGGGTGACGAAGGATCCAAGGTTTCAGCGTCTCGTTTGCCTGCACGACGGCACTTACGCCGACGACTGCTTGGTTCAGCGTGTTACGCAAGTACGACTCTACTGCTACACGATTTTAAGTCAATGCTGTTGCAGTTGAAGCCAGACTGCACGTTAATATAATTAACAGCAATGGCTCTTTTTTACGCATGAATAACAATAACACGAACAGTCACGGTTACAATGGAGTTGAAAGGTGTGATTTTGTGAACTGTGCAAAGGGTGCCTAATATCCACTTTCTGTCTGAAAGGCTAACCTCCACATCTGCAGTCCAACCTGTCAGTGACCAATTTGGGACATTGCATGCCCGACAAGTACCAATTTGAAAGCTCACCACGAATTACAGAATGGTCAACTGGCAGTCAGCGAAGTGATAACAACGGAGACTAACAGACCTTTACTTCATGTGGCATATTTTTAATTTTTTATTTTTCTCGCATCTGCTCGAAAGATAACAATTGTCTTCACCGTGAATTCCTTTGAGCAAGCAATTAACCTTGCGTTTCTAGAAAGCAGGGAATGCTGTATGTTGGAAATTATAAAAAAGAGATTGGAAGATGATTTAATGTATAAGGGCATAAACAGGAGTCTTCGATGTCATGACCTGAGTGAAGAAGTTACGTTGGAAATGGGTTGGCCACGTTGCAAGAAGCGCCAACTATCACTGGGCCAGAGAGGCATTAGACTTGATTGCAGATGACAATAGACGGCCCGCAGGAAGACTTTCCGAATGATTGCGCGATCCAGATGGACGTAAATCGCAGGAATTCGATGTACGTGGCAAAGTCTTTGTGACGCCTTCATCCAGGGGTGAATCGAAAAAAGCTGATGATGACGACGCCAGCTATGGTGATAGCCATAACATAGCAGCAACGATAGGTAGAGTTTCAGGCATGGTACCAAATATCTTCTTGGTTTCCATTAATATACTGTTGTTTATAGCCTCCACTGATATTATAACTGTTGTTGTCTCTTTTTTGCAAATAAATGCTATTATTTATAAATTACGTTTGTAAGATAGGCATTCGACATATTTTGTGTTACTAATTCTAGCTTCTTTTATGAGAAATGTAATTTATTAATGCTGGAATTCTTAATTTTAGTTCAAGTGCTACATTGTTGCCACGTGTGATAAAGATCTCAAAAGAAGAATTCGAAAAATTCCTGGTGTACCAATTATGTACATTAGCAGACATCGGTATATATTGTTTTATGTAGATTTAAAATTGATACAAAATTGGGACCAAAATATATAAAAAGGAACAGAATAATATTGTGTGTATTATGTAATCGTTACGCCCGAAATTCCAATACGTTGTCGTTTTCTTTTGACCATGTTGCTCTACCATTCTGTAATGTTAGCTGAGATGAGTTCCCTTTGTTAGGTACATTGTACCATGCGTATATCATTGCCATTTGGGTTTGGCCTCAGAGCTTGCAATCGTTAAATTTATTATTTTTGCGGGACTTCAATTTATCATGATTTGGGGCACTTTTTACAGCTTCTGCAATAGAAATGTTCATAAGGTATCACGATTTGCACGAAGGTCCATCGACGTTTAAAGCAGACCTCTGAGCAGTTGAATATATAAGTTCTATTGACAGTCGACCCTGTTGCATCACACTGACCTGTTTTTTTGTTACTTTTGTTTTCCTGTCCTATGTATGCTCCATAATGTACGGAAGAATCAAATTATAGTTTTGTGTTCTAGAAAATGAGTAAGGGTTTGCAAGACAGCCAAATGTTGTTAATGAAATTCAAAGCATAAAAATGATCAAGAACAGTCTAAAAGTAGTGGTTGAAATATTTTGTTTTTCGTCCTTTTTTGTGTAGGTGGGTGCTCGGTGACTTCATTGCGTATCTCCTTTGTCGGTCTTTCTTGCGCTTCCTTGATGAGCCATCTCCGACGCTCTTCTTTTCATAATGTTAATGCTGGATGCTGATTACTGTTCTCATGTCAACAGCCGAGAATACCTATTTTTGTGTTGTTGTGCAGTCAACTGAGCAGTTGGCAGGAGCTGTGGAGGGCATAGTTTATTGTCTCCTATTTTCTTTCTAGAGAGTGACACCCATTTATCAACATCGGAGGCAAGGAATGCCAGTGATCCCGCTGATGCTCTTGGTTTTGAGTTAGACGCTCGTTAGCTGAGCAAACCTGGTCGCATGTCTAGCAGTTATACAGACGTATTGATTTTACAAACCAGTTAAAACGAGTCATTTCTAAAGTGTGAATGAGTTGGTTTAAGGTTCTGAGACTTACTACAGATGTATTGGAATACTGTTATCCGCACCCTTTCGTTCCCAGAAACCTGCAAATAAACTTTCTGAAAGAAGTGACATCTTATAGGTAATTGCCATCACGAGCTGAAGAAAGAATGCTTCCTTCTTTGAACGAAAAGTCTTGACTCTTGTCTATGCCACAGCTTAATAGTATGTACCCTAGTTTAGTTCCGGAACGGCCACACTCTAGTCACTCCTTATTCAATTGAACGGTGGAGACGATTATAAATTCGCTGTTGGTCACTCCTTCGTCCTTTCTGCTTTGTTCTCTCTGAAGTCCACAGGCTTCAGATTTGCCTGAAGAAGTATCGCGAACAACGGTATAACTCCGCCGTTGCCGGTCCCAAGCTCGGAAGAAAGGAGGAGAGTTGGAGACCGTTGAAAATCTCCGTAAAATTCAGCCACCTGCCACTCATGGTATTGACGCCATCGGAAATTATACCGGCTCGGTCGTCGCCCGGGTTACCAAGGGCCGCGTAGGCTGTTGGGGGTCTGAGACAGACTGCGAAAAGTCGGCGATCAGAACCTGCTCATTGCCCTCTGCCAGCCCGGGCCTTGGCAGCACAAAGAAGGCTGACGAAGACCGACGCAACGACGACGAAGATACCAGTCAGCAACGGAGTCGCTACCCGTTCTGA